CCCCTCTTCTCTTCTCCTCGATCCAGGCAACCAGAGCAGCTTGAACACCCCCATTATATATATGACAGAGCTCCTCCTACCTCTCGCTTGCATTCAGATGGTATGTGGGCTAATGCACATAGCAGCAGCCGTGGGTTCTCCTCTTGTTCCTGTATGAATGTGTGCACTGGTGCCATATTTCAAGTCCTTTTTGTATTCACTATGAACTCTTTGCCGTGCGAATGCAGCATTATGCCTTTGGGCCATCACATGGTGAACTGGATGTATATGCAGCTAATCGGACCAGATATGTTGTAAGAAACTGCTTGGACTTTCATGTGTTGGAACAGGTGGTCTGGCAAGTACAGTAACAACGAGGGGAGTCAACTTGGCGTTACTCAGTATACGGGCTGTTATGTCACTGGTATCTGTCGATCCCCCTCACTGACCCCACAAAATCCACCGAGCGAGATGCCAGCCGAGCAGATCAGCTGATCTCTTTGCATGGGTGCGCTAATGTTAGGAAGCTTGTTTATAAATTCAAAGTGCAATTGTGGACCGTAGTCAGGGTAGATGCAGTGTTATTGTCCGTATATCCTTCACAGCTTTGTCAGTTTAAATATGGTGTCTACCCAGACAAAGGCCATAAACAATAAATGTGATAAGAAGCGTTTTGCAGTTTCCTGGCACACATTGGGTCTCATTCATGAAACATTCGTAAATATACGAGTAAATATGCGAGTGATTTGCGCGTAAAGAGACCTTCCCGAAAACTCTTCTCCTGATTCACAAATACTTCGTAAACGTCAGATGCGATAGTGAAATGTGTGTGTGTGTGTTAATGAATTCCAATCAGTCGTAAATGGGATGCGCGTGCACGTTCATTCTCAATTACCATAAATCCCGCCCATTAAATCCGACTGACAACTATATATGGGCATCATATTATGACATGAATGTGAATGAAAAAAAAATTTCTCAGATGCAAAAATTGAAGTTTTATTATCAGAAGTTCATTCAAAACGCCACATTTTATTTTCAAGCGTACATAGTGGCGTATCGGGTCCTAAAAAAAAGGAAGCTTGGCAGCATATTACAGATGCAGTTAATGGAGTTTCATTAATCGAACATTCCCAGAAGTGAGAAGAAAATGGTTCGACATTAAGCTTGAGAGCAAAAAACGAATTAGTTCACTTCGGAAAAATACTATTCAAACTGGAGAAGGACCACCATCGCAGATGCTATGGCTCTCATAATAAGAAAAACCGTATGTAATTAGCCTACTATATATAATATTTTTTCAAAATGATGTGCAAATATGTACCCGATTAAGGTGAATTAAAATGCAGCCTTATTAATGAGCAAAACGTTCGGGTGTTAAGCGCACTATTTACGCGTGGCTGGGAGCAGGTGTAGATTTCTTGTGTACCAACTAACATTTGGAAAATACGAACATTTTAATGAATCCGAAAATTTACACCAGAACCACTTTACACACGATTTACACAAAAATTCGTTCTGCTCGTGTTTCATGAATGAGACCCATTGTACGATATTGGGCTGTCCCAGATGATAGATGTCCAATCATGGTGATTTCTGTGGTCGTGGCTCCTAAACGGTGGTTGTACGTCGTACAGTGTGAGAGGTTCAAAGACGGCAGTTTACACTGTCTTGCGACCAAAGATCGCCTCCGATAATTCTCTCACAGTGTCAGAAATTTAACATGATCATATCAGTGCGTTTGCTGCTACGACCAACTGACTAGCCATTAAAAATGCAACATGAAATGGCGGATTGATCAACGCAACATGACGCTAAAACTTAAAACTACTTACCTCAAGCTCCATTTGCAAAATTGGCATGCCAACCTAGCCTTTATAACCTAGCCTTTTTTCCCTAGCCTTGACCGCATCCATATTCTCCTCTTTTGATTCCTTCTCTTTTCTTCAGCGCACAACATGCGATTCATCTTGCTCTATTTGTTTACCACTAGCGCATGCTGATGCCATTTTATTCTTCTATACTAACTTGCATCATAGCCTACGATTCAACAGGTGTCATCATCGTACAGTCTACATACATGTCGTACCCAAGTTTATTAGATCCATGTCGTACAGTGTAATGTGTAATGATCTTATAGGACTGCTGAAATCACTCAGTCTGTAGCAGGCATAAGGGGGTACAGTTATTGTGAGACTCTGACATGAGATGTCTTCTGCTCCAACATTGGAGGTATTTTTAGAGTGAGGGTTACTGTAGAAGGGGTCATAAGTTCAGTTTGAAGGATGAATTAGAGAGAGATGATACGATCCTTCTAAGCTCCCTTTTCGAGTCCCAGTACTTTTTGCAGGTTCTGGCGTTTGCAGTGAATGTAAGCTCTTGGACAGGTAGCATTCAAAGTTGCATGGTCCACCTTCCACCAGTTCCAGTCCACTAATTTGATTTGGCAAGAGTGTTGAGTTGCTGATGTATAGAAATCCTGCCTTCAAATTTCCTGGGAAGGTTCGGTAACACTTTAGTTTAGGGTCCAATTCTCACTATTAACTAGTTGCTTATTTGCATGCATATTACTAGGGTATTGGCTGTTTAATAGTACTTATAAAGTGCATATTAATGCCTTATTATGCATGACCATATTCTACATCCCTTAATGCTACCCAATACTTAAACTTAACAAGTACCATACTAACTATTAAAAAGCAGCAATTAGGAGCTTATTTAGGCACTATAACTATTAAGTAGGTAATAGTTAGTTAATAATGAGAATTGGACCCTAATCTAAAGTGTGACCGAAAGTTCTTACTTTTCACTTTGGAAATCGTAAGCTTAATTAGTTTAAAAAGTTTTTTTGTTTGTTTTTTGGCAGGAATTTCTTACGTCTATCATATTTATTTATTTTTTATTTCCACTACTGTTCTAAACTTTAGGGTCGGTAAGATTTTTTTTTTTTTTTAAAGAAATTGCCATTTTTATTCAGCAAGGGCACATTAAAATTTATCAAAAGTGACTTACGAAATTTACAAGTTACAATGAAACAAGACTATTTCAAATAAATGCTGTTCTTTTAAACTTTCTATTCATCAAATAATCCTGATGATAATAAGAAATGTCACCTGAGCACCAGATTAGCGTGGCTGCTGACAATTCAGCTTTCATCACAGAAATACTTTTTTTTTTTAAAATATATTTAAATAGAAAAGTCATTTTATAATGTGACAATATTTCACAATATAACTGTGTTTACAGCATTTTTGCTCAAATAATTGCAGCCTTAATGAGCATAAGTGACATCTTTCAGAAACATTTTAAAAAATCTTACCGACATCAAACTTTTGAACAAAAGTGTATTTTTCTCTTTTCCACTTCCCATTGAAGAAGGAAGCTTTTTAGCAAGACAACAGTAGATTGAAAAGCAAGAGATATACATTTATTTGAAGTAAAGCTTAATTGGTCTGTTTTATCATTCTTGTGGTGCCATTGAGAATAATGGGAAATGTGTCATGTTTTATATAATCTAAATTGTAGTCAACATTCACATTTTGAATGGAAAACAAGCTCCCAATGGCAGCTATGGTGTTGTGGTGGAAATCATTTGCACTAATCTCATGATTTTGACTAGGTTGTCATGACTTTAAGGCAGCAAAAGCAAGATATTGGACTTGTTGTCTATTGAGCTCTTGTTTTTTCCTCATCTTTCTCTCCTCTGCTTTGCCTCTCTTTCACTTCTCCGTTTATCTAGAAATGGCCTTTGTGAAGCGAGCCTTCATTCACATGGTGTGTGAGGACTCTACCCCCCACTGCCGTCTTGTGTCTCAGGCTTGTGTTTCTAGTTACTGTTGCTAAGTGGGGCCAAGAACCTCTATGTGTTTTGCAAACGTAGCGAGAGAGAGAGACACACACACAGAGGACGAAGTACATTTGCGATCAGCAATTAGCATTTTGGCAACTCCTGCATCCACTAAACAAGCCTAGGGGCCCTTAAAATATTTTTCCTATATAGCCTTTACACCACGTACACACACACATGCACGCACACACACACACACACACAGAGACACCAGTTCACCTTTGTACTGAACATTCAAATCAGCAGTGAGCACAAAACACTCTCTGTGTGCCTTTCAAACCTAAGAACATGGAGGTGATGTTGGAGCCGTAGCCTGTCAATTAGTTCCCCAAATATGAGGATACCCTTGTAAGGGGAGTTATGTTATTTTTATTTTATTTTTAAACTATTTATATATTTTATGAAAATATGTGATATCATGGAGACACCCCCCCACACAAAAATTATGTGCAAAATATTTTATTTGATAGTTGACAGTGTATATAATAATTGTAGTATTTATATTATTATTATATACTTAAACATTTGATTTAATATTTTAATTTAAAATATTTTTTAAAACTACTTTAAGATTTGCTTTAATTTTCTGTTTCATATCCTCTCTCGCACTGCCTCATTAAAGTAAAGTCTGAATATAAACATATTATAACAACTTTCTATAGAAAACTGCTGATATGATGCTAGGGTTTTGTGGGTGGTTCCCAGGGCATTACTGCATGGTTGCTAGGGTGTTTTGTGTAGTTGCTAGGTGGTTCGCATCAAAAGAGCCTTCCCTCAAGTCTCTATATCATTCCAGTCTGTTGGATTCTTTCACTCATTTTATTGTCCACCACGCAAAAATTGTGAGTCTGATCACTTAGAAAAGCATTAATGCACCTCTCCTTTACAAACTGCATGATTTGAGGTATCATTCATGTCCGTAGCACAAACAATGTGGGGCAAGTTTCTTTCTAACATTTAATACTAGGGTTAGGGGTTTCAAGTATTCAAAAAAGTCAATTTTGCTCATTAGTCAATTTAGCTCATTAGTTTGATTCCCAGTGAATGCATAAACTGATAAAATGCAATGCAAGTCGCTTTAGTTAAAACCGTCTGCCAAATGCATAGGTGTAAATGTTAATAAAAAAGACCAAGCACAGTGATTCCTAACATCTCCCTCTTTCTGTCTCTGCAGGTCTACACACAACGAGATGGAGAAGAACAGGTATGTCCATATAACTTTCATGTTATTGTCACAGTTGTTAGTTCTTATCTGTAAGCTTGCAGGATTATACCTCATTACATCCTTACTGATTAGATTAAGATTAAACCTCTGTAATTGAAAGCTAAACGACCAGGGAATGTGACCGAATGCCTCATTTCAGTCTTTTTGGAGCCGTTTCTTTTCACGTGTGTCCACTAGCACCCAGATATTGCTCAGAGATAAGTATTAAGGTCAGTCAATCAGCTGATATATCCATTCAGCTTTGACCCTAGAGATAAACCCTCAATAAATGGCTGATCTGACATTTTGAACGCGAAAGATCTCGCTAATGAACCATGGCTTAACGTGTCCAGCGTGATGGGGTTTGGGTAACACACGCGCACCGAGCTCAGCTTGCCAAACGCCTTGAATAATACATGCCGTCAGGCTTAGCAATGAGCAAAACCAGGGTGTCTGGACTTTGACTTTACACTCCTAACAATGCACACAGCTTAAGTCACACTCCCCTCCCATTCGTGCCTAGGAAAGTGTGTCTCTTTCTGCATACATCAGATCAGACCAAAGCTCTGAGGTCACAGTGCTGCAGACAACTGATCCGCTATTCATTTCTGAAGAGCGGCTTTCATCTACTGTTTAGAAATCCATAGAAGGACAACAAGGCTCCCCACGTCTCTGCTTTTGTTTCACACTCGCTCAAAATGGAGTATGGGCTGATATTCATAAAGCAACTCAAGTGGGAGTGCATTTGTGATGCAGATTTGAATAAATGGCCAGCATGTCTGATGTGAAACCAGCACAGCTGTGTTGTGATGATTCATGTGTCCGTGAACCTCTCTGGTTAAAAAAATATATAACAAGGGTAGGGCTTTAGCCGAGCAGTTGTAGCATGCAGCGCATGTTATTTCGACATTAAGCCCTGGCACTTGTCGGAAAATGCAAGTTTGAATCTGGCTCTTTCCTGACTCCATTCCCACTGTTTCTCTCTTACTTTTATTTTATTTCATAATGATTTTCTCCCATCTAAGTACTAACCATTTGATTTTTTAAGCTATTATGATTTTCTTTTTTTTCTTTTTATTTCATGTATGTGTGAATTTATTACTATGAATTAATTTGTCATTACATCAAATCCAGTTTGTGATGCTGTAAATAGGCTGAATTAAATTACTTGGATGTTTAGATATGTTGTCTACAAGTAAAGAGTAACTAGAAGTAAACTTATGAATAAAGACCACAATGTGCTACTCTGTAAAAAAAAAGCAAAAAAAAAAGCTGTGGTCTCCAGAAATGTACCATAAAAAATACAGTAGGAACATTTTAGGTTTTACAGATTTAACTTAAATTTACAGTAAAAAACGTATTCATTAACTGATATAATGTTAATTTACCAACCTATTGACGTTCTAATATCTGTTTTGTACCTTTGTAATACACTAACAACCACCAAAAACAGGTGGGGATGAGAAAGTCAAATGATGAATCAAAGCTCATCACAAGCAGCTTTCCTCCAAGCTGAGAAGGTAAATACTAATATATAGAAGGTGCACAGTGTTATTCACATGGACACTAAACACCATTATGGTAACACAACATAAAAAAAATGCAATAAACATGAATTCAACAACATTAGATGTAACATAAAACCTTAATGTGCATAACTGATTAAAAAAATTAAGAAGAAACAGTTATTTCAATGAAAATACATCAAATGTGAAGTGTCATGCAGGGAATTCTGGGAATGCCAAATTATGTTTTTTCACTGTAAATTATACGACTTGGTTTTTTTTTTCACTTCCAAAAAGTTTCAATTTAATGGTATTTTACCGTAATGTAACAATGTACGTACGGTAAGATCTATTACAGTTATTTACCGTATATAGTATGGAATCTTTCACCCTAGGAAAGTCTTTTACCATTTAAAATCACTATAATTTTTTACAGTGTATGAATATTTCTGGACGGCTTATGTCGAAACATAGTCAGTTCGACTCCCAAGTCAGTACTGTGATTGGTTAGCAGATATACATTACTGTTCAAAATTAATACATTAATTCAGCAAGGATGCATTAAAATGATCAAAAGTGACAGTAAAGACATAATGTTACAAAAGATTTTTGTTTCAAATAAATGTTGTTCTTTTGTTGTTCATCAAAAAATCCTGGGGAAAAAATGTTTAATGGTTTCCACAAAAATATTAAGGCACACAACTATTTTCAACATTGATTATAATAAGAAATGTTTCTTGAGCACCAAATCAGCATATTAAAAGTATTTCTGAAGGATCATGTAACGGCTGGAATAAATGACATTTTAAAATATATTTAAATAGAAAAGTTCTATCGATTGATCAAATAAACCACTATTGTACCAGATCCATTTCATTGGTTAGTGATATACGATATAAGATTTCTCTGAATATGAATTTGTTTCCTCCTTAATTGAAAATCGATTTGTTTAGATGTTTTTTACAATTCTTTTCACCCATGTTATTGTCCACCATGTGAAAATCTCTAAATGTTTGTGAAAAGTTGAGCAAAAGTGAAGTTTTGTTTGCACCTGGCTCATAGTTTAGCATAGTGGCGTTTAAATAAAATAAAAAAGCTGTTGTTAAAGTTAAAATCTCACCTGAAATGCCCCTGTCTTATAAAATGTCACACACCTGTATCATGTAAAACTGTTACAGTTGTCCCAGTGACCTCAATATCACACATGGCATGCATTTTCACCCTGCACCAGTTATGGGCTAAATGTCATACACACTCACCCTATAGGCAGAGCGAAAGACTGCCTAAGAGAATATGCAAACAACTGCTGTTAACAATGTTCTTTGGAGCCAATGTCAACAGGAGCCACAATAGCAGACACACACCATCTCAAACACAAGTACAGGTTAAATTTGCCTGCAGTTTGTTTGTTCTCAACATGGACTTCGCATACCCGTGGCCTATTTGTCTTGAGAGAGAGCTTAAATCTGTAACCTGAGCTCCAGGCCACCACACATGCATTGGCATGTACCGTTCTCTAGTTGGGTTAATACTATTACTGAGAGGTCAGAAGTCAAAGGCCGGGAGAGGATGGTGATTTATGCTAAAGGTCATATGGCTCGAATAGATAAAGGCTGATCTGTTTAAAGGATCATGGTAGAACAGATATATGGTGTCCCACAGAACTGGGGTGGTCTTTTTTGTATAGGGACACACCATGCTGTGACTGTGGACTGGGAATATCCTGTTCCATATGCAATAAAGTTTAAAAGCTTGGGGTCGCTAAGATTTAAAAAAAATGTTTATGCTTACCAATGCAGTATTTATTTGATCAAAAATGCAGCAAAACAGCAATATAGCTGAATTTTCGGCATCATTACTCCAGTCTTCAGTGTCACATGACCCGTCAGAAATCATTCTGATTTGGTGCTCAAGAAACGTTTCTTATTACCAATGTTGAAAACAGTTTTTTTTTAAAAACACTTAATATTTTTGTGAAATTTTCAGGATTCTTTGATTAAGAGAAAGTTCAAAGTTTAATGCTTCCTTGCTAAATAAAAGTATTGATTTCTTAAAAAATATATATATACCGGTATATATACACTCACCGGCCACTTTATTAGGTACCCCATGCTAGTAACGGGTTGGACCCCCTTTTGCCTTCAGAACTGCCTCAATTCTTCGTGGCATAGATTCAACAAGGTGCTGGAAGCATTCCTCAGGGAGTTTGGTCCATATTGACATGATGGCATCACACAGTTGCCGCAGATTTGTCGGCTGCACATCCATGATGCGAATCTCCCGTTCCACCACATCCCAAAGATGCTCTATTGGGTTGAGATCTGGTGACTGTGGAGGCCATTTTAGTACAGTGAACTCATTGTCATGTTCAAGAAACCAATTTGAAATGATTAGAGCTTTGTGACATGGTGGAAGTAGCCATCAGAGGATGGGTACATGGTGGCCATAAAGGGATGGACATGGTCAGAAACAATGCTCAGGTAGGCCGTGGCATTTAAACGATGCCCAATTGGCACTAAGGGGCCTAAAGTGTGCCAGGAAAACACCCCCCACACCATTACACCACCACCACCAGCCTGCACAGTGGTAACAAGGCATGATGGTTCCATGTTCTCATTCTGTTTACGCCAAATTCTGACTCTAACATCTGAATGTCTCAACAGAAATCGAGACTCATCAGACCAGGCAACATTTTTCCAGTCTTCAACTGTTCAATTTTGGTGAGCTCTTGCAAATTGTAGCCTCTTTTTCCTATTTGTAGTGGAGATGAGTGGTACCCGGTGGAGTCTTCTGCTGTTGTAGCCCATCCGCCTCAAGGTTGTGCGTGTTGTGGCTTCACAAATGCTTTGCTGCATACCTCGGTTGTAACGAGTGGTTATTTCAGTCACTGTTGCCCTTCTATCAGCTCGAACCAGTCTGGCCATTCTCCTCTGACCTCTGGCATCAACAAGGCATTTCCGCCCACAGAACTGCCGCTCACTGGATGTTTTTTCTTTTTCGGACCATTCTCTGTAAACCCTAGAGATGGTTGTGCGTGAAAATCCCAGTAGATTAGCAGTTTCTGAAATACTCAGGCCAGCCCTTCTGGCACCAACAATCATGCCACGTTCAAAGTCACTCAAATCACCTTTCTTCCCCATACTGATGCTCGGTTTGAACTGCAGGAGATTGTCTTGACCATGTCTACATGCCTAAATGCACTGAGTTGCCGCCATGTGATTGGCTGCTTAGAAATTAAGTGTTAACGAGCAGTTGGACAGGTGTACCTAATAAAGTGGCCGGTGAGTGTATATTAATGACCCTAAAATTTGAAACGGTAGTGTACGAAGTGAGAAAACGGTTGAGAAAGAGAAACAAATCTGCACGTATTGTGAGTGACCCTGTGACAGCAACACCCATTGTGTGTAAATGGCGGATGGCACACGAAGTCTGTATTTGCTTAACAAACACCAGGCCACTTAGGTTATGTCACCACTTTGGTGGCAAATTCTGAAGTTATGCAATAGTATTCCCGACCTTCGGACCATTTGACCTCGCACTGCATGAAAGCGATGAGCAGTGGTGCAAACATTACCCTTTGTCTGGGTGTGTTCTCCAGCGCATGTTATGTGTACGCGTGTTGCTGGAGAGGCAGGTGTACACACAACCTGTCCTTTGGCATTATGATATTGCTCTTACCCTGTGTTTGCACATTCTTTTTAATAATTTGCATTAAACTGGTCTTGAACTGCAGCAGCAACATTTAAATGAAACACAATTGGCCACTATTTCATATTAATGTTATATATACAAATTATTTTTTTAATTTAGTTTTGAGATAGTAAACTATAAAAAGCAAGTTATTTAGTTATTATTCATTATAATTAATAGTAAGTTATTTTTGTAAATATTAGAAATATTAATAACAAATTTTGCAGCAACAGTTGCAAAGCTTTTTTCACTATATTATCATGTATTTTAGTGTGTATTTCTGTACAGCTGGAATCATAATTTTTTTGTAGTTAGTTATGAATCTTGTTGCTACAAGGTCAGAATAGGATTTTAGTTTTTTTTTTTGCGTGATCTTCTTAACATTTGCATATGGCAAAATGACACCTTTCATTTTAGATCCTCATTTTCTATATTTAAATGATTACATGCTTAACTGCTGTAGCTTAGAAAGAGCTGCCCACAGCCAACACGTACACACTTATCTGTTGGCAGAACACGCATTGCTAACATGCAGACGTTCATACGCAGCCGCTGAGCAGCAGCAGTAAAATAGTTGGGTTGTGACCCACGCCTCCATACAAATACAGCAGGAAAGCAAAGCAGTCTGCAGTTTCTGGCAGGTTGCATAACAGGTCATGTGGCCGCTGGCACCTATCATCACCACACCCCAGCAGCTGTGTATCCCTTTGGCACGCACAAGAGAGGAAGTTAGAGAAGCGTTTAGAGGAATGAACTTAATGATCCTTATTTAAATAACAGGTTTATTTGTTGGATTCGTACCATTAAATGTGAATGACAGAATAATAATGTATTGATGTTATATTCATTGGCTTATTTACTGGCATCTTAGGCATTTCACATTATTAAAGAGGACCTATTATGCGCTTTTTCAAAGTCTTAACTGTTTGTTTGTTTGTTTGGGGGGGGGGGGAACATTGAAGGGGGGGGGGAGCATTGAAGCATGAAAACCTATTCCACTTGAATAGGTTTTCATGCTTCAATGTTAAAAAAACACATTAATTTTCACATATTTTACAGTGTTGCAGCACCTCTCCTCCCAGTCTGTCAGTAACGCTCTGTTTAGTTCCGGTCTCTATGAAGCCCCTCCTTCAGAAAAGCACAATGTGCTCTGATTGGTCGGCTGGACAAGTGTGTTTTGATTGGTCAAGCGTTGCAGAAATGTCACGTCCCTCACCATAACCTCGAACATGCTACAAACGCAACTCAACCAGGCCTCGCAACCACCACCCCTCCCTCCTTTTTTTGTCCATACGCCTTGGGCGGGAATTATTTAAATGAAGAATATTGTGACGTGAACATTCCTGGAAGAAAACTCATGACTGCAATCGAGGCGTTTCAGGGAGTTCAGAAACAGTGCTTTCTGATATAGAGAATAACTCCCTTTGTAGTGAACCTTGTGCTTTGCAGACCTTTTTGATACTTAAACAGCAACATTACACGCTAAAGAGAGAGTTGAAAATGTAAAAAGCATAATAGTTCATCCAACATTTTTTCCCCCAAATCTGTATCACTTTTTCTTCTGTGTAACAGATTTTTTGAAGAATTAGTTTGTGCTTGTTTTTTGCCCCCATGCAGTTATAATGAACAGGAACTAAAGCTTTCAAACTTCAAAAATGACATAGAAGTATGATAAAACTAGTTGGTATGAATCATGCACTATATTCCTAGTCTTTTGAATTCTTACTATTTTGTGAGAAACAAACTGAAAGGTGTTCACTTTGCAGATCGCAGTCACATTCTTCCGATTTTTATGATTCATGTTGTTGCTACTGCTTATTGAAAGTATTGTAGTTGCACTGCTTTTATAACTAACTCTCTTTCTCTATTTTCCTCACGTCAACCACCCAGGAGGGCACATTTGAGACTGTGTTTGGAACGCTTGAAATCTTTCGTGCCCTTAGGACCAGACTCAAACAGGCACACAACCCTCAGCCTACTTATGAGGGCTAAGGAACACATCAAGGTATGTACTAACGTCCCCTTGGCAGTTCATATTGTTTGGTGGCATGAAAGCAAAAGACAATTCTCAGAAGACCAAAATGCAATGATCTGATATTAAAGCAGCAAGAGGCAGTTACTGAGATTTTACCACAGTTTTAAGTGGTGTTGTTGTTAGGCACGACCCTGAAGTGCTTAAAACGTCCTGTGAGCTTAAACCCCCAAAGCTTAACAGGGTTTGCCTGGGTCAAGAAGGGTCTTTGGTGGTGGCGGACGAACACAGTCATCCACACACACAGTACGAAGTACCCTACCCATGTGAACTGCGAGCACAGTACTGACAATAAATGCAAAGAAACAGTTTGTAATATTAACTTAACCTATTTATTCATGAAATGATAAATACTCACTGTCAGGACAGATCATTAAACAAAGTGCTTAGAACTCATTTATATTTAAAAATGTAAAAAAATAAATAAATAAAAACTAGGCCTAAGTGACTGATTTGAAAAGTTAGTAATAAAATGACCCATATAATAACACATTACATAGAAAAAGTGGCAGATGTATTTGACATACAGTATCATATTGTTCCATTCCATCTATTGCTATGGTTATCGCTGTCAATTAGATTCAATTGTGTATTTAAATACGGTTGTCAATACAGAAACTTTGCAATGCTCATTCATTGTTAATGTTAATGCATTAACTATTGTTACCCTTATTGTAAAGCGAGCAGGACGAGGCCGAGGGCCGCGGGAGAGACCAGTCTCGTATCTCTCACGGAGGAGCGGAAGCACAACAGGAGGAGCGACGACAGTGGAGATCGAGAGAGGAACAGGCCTGATTTTCTCTCTCGATCTCCACTGTCGTCGCTCCTCCTTTTATGCTTCCGCTCCTCCGTGAGAGATACGAGACCGGTGCGTCGCGCAGGTGTCTCTCATCAGTAATCACGCCACCGGCCTCGCCCCGTTCTCTCACGGCCCTCGTCCTGCTCGCCACATTTACCAACAATTCTTACAAACAAAGTAGGTTACTTCATTACTATATGTTTCTTAGAAGTCTGATGCATGCAGTACCGTTCAAAACTTTTGGGTCAGTAAGATTTTTAATTGTTTGTTGTTGTTTTTTTGATAAAAAATACAGTAACAATAGTGATATTATGCAATCTTTTGTAATATAAATGTCTTTAATGTCACTTTTGATCAATTTAATTGCTTTAACTTGTGAATAAAAGTATTATCTTGCTGACCTCAAACGCTTGAATGGTAGAGTAAATACAGATTTGAACTCAACTGATGCGCAGTCACACGTGTATGTAAATCGGCAATTTTATAATGGCAGTACTATCCGTTTTACAATAAGACTTGAGCACATCTGTGTCTTTGCAGAGGTTGGAAGATGGCGAGCGGAAGGCCCAGCACGCTATAGACCAGCTGCAAAGAGAACAAAGGCACCTGCGCAGACGCCTGGAGCAGCTGGGTGTGGAGCGCACACGCATGGACAGCATGGGCTCCACCATCTCTTCCGACAAATCCGACTCCGACCAAGGTATATACTCACAGTTATGGTCAACAAGAGTCTTTAAGTCTTAAGCCTTGTTCACACTGTCAGTCCAAATCCAATTTTTTTTCATATCCTATTGGAATCCGATTATATTTAGCAAGTGTGAACGGCAAGAAAATCACATGAAATCCGATTTCAAGCTACATTCAAATGCGTCAGATGTCGTTGCAGAAACAGGTTTGTGTTGCATTGTTGTTGATGCGCAGGTCGCACAGAAAATGATATTATAATGGAGACATCTCGTGGTCCAGTGATGAGGTGTTTTCACTTCTTTTACTGTGTGACGGAGACGGCAGCGCAAAATAAAGCCGTGCATGCCAGCCTCCTACATTTCTTCATTAGATGCAGTAGTCCAGCGCTGCAGCTTCACATCGTCATATTGTTAGGCAACATTTCAAACCAGTCAAACCCCTCCATACCAACACAACGTAATTGCCATAGAAAACATAAACCAACACAGATATTCTGTAAAACGAAAGAGCACTACGGGACACACAAATTGGATCTGAACAGTTGCAATGCACAATGTGGATAATTTAGATTAGAATACAATTGGATTCACAAATAATCAGAATTGGGAAGACTGTGAACATAGTTTAGAGACATCAAACATCTGAGAGCTTTCTGTCCCTCCATTGACAGCTACTCAACTACCACTTTGACGCTTCAAAACGTTCATAAAGAGATTGTAAAACTAATCCATATGAATTGAGTGGTTTAGTACAAATTTTCTGAAGAGACATGACTGACATTTATATGATGAACAGATTTATTTATTTTTTTCCATTTTTGGTTGAACTAAGCCTTTAAACATTAGATATAAGACTGTAATTTAAGGCATTTTCATATATTTCATTCTTTGTAGTGGTCAACCAATATGGGATATTCATTGGCCAGAGCCAATTATCTCAAAATGGCAAAATACTAAATGGTCTGGTTGTTATATCTGCATTTTTTATGACAAGCTGTGGGCACACCTTATGTTACCTGAGCATGATGACAAAAGTTGCAATTGCAAATCATTACAGAATGTCACATGTTCCACCTGCCATATTCTGAAATATTAGGCCAGGTGAGTTTATTTTAAACACAATGATAATTCAAAGTACTTTACATAAACATTTTAAGAAACTCTCATTACTAATGCAATAAATGTCCTATAAAGATTGGCTTAAGTGACAATTTCCGATTTTCTGTGACCTAATCTAAAGTTAAATGTTTTAAAAGGAAATAATAAAAGAGAACAAAGATGATACAGTGCAATCAATAGGACGCAGCACAGTGCGTTCAGTTTGCATTTAAATGCAAATGTAAGTTAAATGTCAAATATTAGGTTTGATAACTAAGCAAACACGAATGCAGATGAGAAAATTGTCTACAGACTACACAGAAAGTCAAACAAGAACTGAACTGTTTGCTTTTGCAACATGTCGAAACTTGTACTGCTCATTTAGTACACATTAAAAAGAAGCCGAGAAGTAGAAATTGTATTCCTTCAATCATTTAAAATCTTGCTTTTATGCATGTCACATTGTCATACATGCATTATTTACCTTGAACACAACAGGGTCAAATAGGGAAGATCCATTCGAGGCTTCTAAGAACGCTTTTAAAAAAATACCCAGAAGCTCTTTCTTTTTAAAAGGTTTTTTAGTGGTAATGCTTCTACCTGGAACCGGTTGTCATCTACGGCCTTTACACTCCCATACACCGTCACACACAAGATTCAGGTTCACTTGCGGACACACGGTGGAAGTTTGATAATCACACAGGAAGCTCAAATGGTTTTTCTCAGAATTCAGACAAATAATAATCCTGAGGAGTTTATTTCGTATATGCTGTGGCCTGTCCTAGAAACAGATGGCACATAGATCGACTGTAGCACGCAGCACCACAATGAATGCTTTAACACCTAAATTGGAATGTTGCCATGGAGATAATGGGCCAGATTGACTAAACGTAGCACACTTCAAAATGCACATGAAAATGCTATAACCTTAATAACGATCGATTGAAAACAAGTCTTAAACGAAATTACAGCTCACACCATGCAGTTTTCACGAAATTGTAATTTATGTGCATGTGAATAGATTTTTTAACATCTAACGGAACAAATGCTGCATAAAACTGGGTGAGTGTACTATGTGTGTGACACAAGACAAGCATTATCATGGAAAGTTTGGCAGATGATGTTAATATGAATTGTAGGCAAACTAAACGACAGAAAAAACTAGAGCGCTCCCTTTATGTCAGTGTGCACTGTTGACTGCTTCATTGATTATAGCGTGATCAATCTTGTTTGTCTTGTCAAACCACTTGCTTGCAGTGTAGACATGCTGTCAGACATCTGTGTTAACATCATCCATCAGATCTTTGTGGTTTGTGTTATTGTCTGAGCAAAATGTCTTGTGTTTTCACCTTTACATTTAGCCTAAAGCTGCATAACAACAATTGTGATAATCCATTAACCTATTGATCATTTGAATAAAAAGACACATTTTATTTTCTGTATTTTACTGAAAAAAAAACATCAACCAATAAATTATGAATAATAATAAAGAAAACAACAGGCAATTGCTTCTATTAAGTGTATATAAAATAATAAATGTTGATAAATAATATAAATTCTACATTTATAATATAATATATAAAACGTTAATATGAAATGATCTTGTGCTTGGATTGAAACACCTTTGTAAGTCATTTTTATGGATGGAATTCACCATCTGTGCATTCACTGTTCATTCAGTATACTGTATATATTACATGCTAGCACCATCAGTTTTATTAGGGCTTTCGAGTCAAATATCTAATCACAATTAATCTCATAATTTTTCGTCGGTTTTGTAGATTTTCATCATTTTTCGATTTCACTCTGCAATTAACTACAGACAAAGAAGAAATATATGCCAAACAATCCTACGAATATAAAATATAAATAATATAAATTGTTAAAATAAAATGATCTTTTGCTTGGATTTCAACACCTTTGGAAATGCATTTTTTCCCCTATTGTATAGTAAAGTCACTTATAGCACATCCCTGGCTGTGCCATGTGCATAGACCCGACTTTGTTAAATTGTGTAGATTTTCATTATTGATTATTATCGATTAATTATTGATTATTATTTTGTTGTTGTTGCTGCCATTTGGGAGACATTTTTGCATTTACTTTGAAATTCACAGTATACTAGCACCATCCTCTACCAGTTTTTATAGAGCAGGGGGTTTTTTTCGTGATCAGTTGTTTTTTATTGATTTTTACATAATGAAGATCACTTACAAATTACCCAGATTCTTCACATGCCTCCTGTCCCCTTAGTCCACTCCAGACCACTGATACTTGCAAAAAAAAATTGCCTTAATTATTATTTGATGATTATTTTTTTGGTTTCACTCTGTGATGCACTACAGACATAGGAAGGATAAAGAAGGACTATCTGCCAAAGAATCCTACGAATGTTTTTCCTGTGTTTGCTTTGCAGAAGAGGTGGATGTTGACGTGGAAGGGACAGACTATCTGCTGGGAGACCTGGAGTGGAGCACCAGCAGCGTAAGCGACTCGGACGAGCGGGGCAGCTTGCGCAGCAGCTGCAGTGATGAAGGCTATTCCAGTGCCAGTCTCCGTCGCCTCGCCAACCCTCAGGAGAAGAGCCCAGAGCTGGGCTGCAGTCTTTAAGAGCACAGATCACCCCCCGGTTCCTCAGCCACTCATCTCCAACCACTTCAACCTGAACCTCCAATCACCTTCAGCCAGGTCCTCCTCTAATACTTGAACGGTGTTGTCTCCTTTGTGACCGAAACAACGAAAAGGTCTTTCCCTTGCTCTGACAAATCCAGTCTAGGTGTGCGTGTGCGAGTCAAGAGGAGGAAGCACGGAGAAAGTATTGGAATTTGGATGTGCCGCCCACCAAACAGACCTCATATATGCAGCACTAACTGGGAGAAAAGGCCGACCCTTCTTAACCAAGCCGCACCAATCAGATCTTCCCACCCATTTGCCTTTGCTCCCACCCCACCATCCTGGAGAGAGGCACACGATTTGGGACATTCCCATTCCCGGAAGACCCTCAAAAGACCCTTAAAGACCTCATAGCCAGATGAAGAATGTGTACCATACCACACCCACTGCCTAGTCACTGTCGCACTCTGGGACAACGCACCCAGGCTGTCTTACGTTCCTTCAATCAAAAACTGAACCGTCCAGACACAGGGCTGGGTCATCTGACCAGTTAGCTAACCAACCAGAGCATGGTATTTTGCACTTAGATGACAACGTCCGAAGAAGTGGCCTTTTTACACTCGTCTGAAGCCAGCTTTGCCTCGTCCCACGTAATAGCCAAGGACCGGATTTGGGAAAGCTGCGAGATCAGAGCAAAAGGGTTACTTCTACCGTACAGGCAAAGATCGCTTCGTGTCAAGAGATGTGCTGTCATGTCGTTTTGTTTTCTAAAACGTCTCTCCGAAGGGACTGCAGCTACTTTAGTGATGTATCAGGCGTAGTGTGTTAGCTAGTCTTAAACAAAAAATATCTACCTGCACTGTCTAATACCGACACTCCCGTCACTGCACGGGCAGAGATCACTGACGTGTTTTTTTTGTTTCCTGTTTTTGTTTTACCCAGCAAGCACTCCTAATACTCATGCTGTGCGAAATCATCAGGGCGGTAGCAATACACCCCTCAACTGGACTTACCGACGGATTCCTGACATCCCAAACGAGAACATCTCTAATTGATGTAGTTTTTGAAGCATATGCTATACTTTAAATGCCCCCCTGACCTGCCATCTTGAATTTTATTACTACAACCAAGGGGCGAAACGACTGAAGCGTTTGCAGCATGAGATTCTTCGAAGGGTTTGTGGGTTGGGTTTATGAAACTGGGGTGGGAAGAGGGTTGACGTCTGGATCTCAGGTATCTCTTCCTCTCTCTCTAAGGACAGTGGCGTTTTTTTGTGTGTGATGCATCTTCCTCATGTTTGTCCGTTTTCTTTTCTCTCGACTGTTTAGCCCAAGAAGTGAGAGGGCAACTCTAGAAGCACATTCCATGGTTTAGCAGAGCTTTGCGTTATTGCATGGACTGCAGACACTTATACAAAGGTCTGAGGCTTCAGATTACCTACTGTATGAGCGACGGACCCTTTCTGCTCCTGCACCATCAGGCTCATTGTAAGAGGTGTGTGTGTGTGTGTGTGTGTGTGTGTGTGTGTGTGTGTGTGTGTGTGTGTGTGTGTGTGTGTGTGTGTGTGTGTGTGTGTGTGTGTGTGTGTGTGTGTGTGTGTGTGTGTGTGTGTGTGTGTGTGTGTGTGTGTGTGTGTGTGTGTGTGTGTGTTCGTCGATGACTGCAGCACTGCATTGCAGTTTCACTCCTGCTACCCAGCTATTACCATTTCAGCTAAATGTAGTCATGATGTGTATATAGTTCACAGAAAAAGAGATATATCTACCCTATATGTACGTATATGGATAAAGTATTTATATTTGATCTACATTATATGTTAAAACAGAATATAAATATATATATATATATGAGAGAATATATTTAAGTAGTGATTGCCTTAGTTGCTTCAGTTCTCCTTATCGTTAGTTTCAATGTGTAGTTGATTTGCACTATATATAGATACGTATAAATATATACCTATTTTACACATCCTAAATTCTAACTCTGTGCTCGCAGAGCCAAAAAAAAACCTTTTTTTTCCTACACAAAAATTAAAATGTTTTGATTAAAAAAAAATTTAAAAAGTAATATAAACTGCATTAAAAAAAATATGATTGGGTCGTATTTGTTAGTTTGTTGGTGGCATTGCAATTGTGGAAAGTGGGTAATCAGTAGCCTGTTATTATCGTGCCTGATCGGACTTGGGAGAAGCGTTTTCCTAAAACACTAGTGAGTAAAGTGGGTTCTATAGGGAGCCTAGTGAAGGATCTGTGTGTTTGAATGTACTGAAATCTACTTTTGCATCACAAAGTGAGATCTTGAATTGTAGAATATATCATTTTTTAGACTGATGCACCAAAAACGGAATTTAAACAAACCGGATTGTTCATTCTTTCCATATGGAATGCTGCTGTTGGGTAGTTTTAAAAATCTTAAATGAAATCCCCCAAAAAAAGAAATAAAACATAAAAAAGTATAAAACTTGTGTGAGTTGTAGCCATGAGAGCATTAGAGCACCGTGTATTTTGGAAGGGGGGAAGGTGGTGTGTACATGTTTGCTAGTTTGTGACGTCACTGTCCACAGACAGAGAGAAAGGGTTTGATTTTTATTCTTTTTTTCTCCTTGAGAGGACAAGGGGTTTTGGGCTATATGCCTTTTGTATTGATATGCTTGTTTTTATTTGTTACAAGTGTTTAAAAAAAAGTGAACTTCCTTCTCAAGATTGTGTCTTGTTAAAATTTGGTGTCTTGAAGTTTCTCACGACCCACTCCCAACAAAGTAGGCTCTGCTTTCTGTGTAGTTCAACCTTTTTTCCCCCCGGCTTTCTGAGTCTGCGTTTCTCCTCTCATACGCCGTCTTCTGTGAACACCAGTGGCGGGACATAGCTAACATGTTGCACTTATGAATGTTACGTGAAAGACTATATGGTGCTGTCACTCACACGGATGTGAATTCCCGCTTTAACATGATGAACCCTTACTTTGTCCCGGTGCTGCGCTTGTCACAGTCAATGATGTCACCGCGGGGGGTAGATGTACTACTTTTGATTTGTATATATTGGTTATGTACCGTACGTAAAGTACGAAACGGCTAAAGCCTTAAGACATACAAATGTATGAAAACAATAGATGTTATCAGAAACTGATTGCTGAAATGAACCCATCGCCAGTCATTCCCACTTATCGTGACTGCGTCTCAGGTGTTTCACACCTTTCCAAATATACATAGACACAAACATGTGTGCGCACACTCACACACACATCCTTGAACATATACTGCCTCTTGTAAGCTAAACGAAAGAGGTTTTATGTCTGTTTTACATCCAATCAAAAATGGACATTTCTATGCTGTTACTTTTTAAGAATTGGGCTACTTTGATGTTGACTGCTAAATATGTGGTTAAAAGGAATGAACTTAAAATAAAAATAAAAAACTGTATATTTTGTGGTTGTGATTGATTCGGTGACAATAATGGTCTTGGAGGTCTGTAATACTTTGAGAAAGTTATCCTTTAGCATTCCGATTCATCTCAGTGACTGTTAATGAATTGAATTAAACACTCCCCTCCCTTCATCGCTCCGCCCCCAAATGCACGAACACCCAATGCAAGAGCGGATGTCTATTTATCATAGCTGAAGCGAAGCAAAATAAAGAAAAATAAACATACAGTACACATATTCAGTATACAAGCAAAAATTGGTTGTTAGTCTCCAGCAGCACATCAGCTCCAGACAAACATGCCCCAAACCAGTTGTACAAACCCACGACGGATTCAAAGATTTCATTGGTCATGTCAATCACAGTTCTGATTGCCTACAAAATTGCTGAAACAAATACTAACCCTTTACCTTAGTATTGCCTTGCGAGCACATTCTGATCAAATAATATTACTGTTTGTTGGAGTTGTATCTATCCATGATTTTTATTTACTGAATCCGTGAATTTTGAAGCAAGACACACCAACAAATCCTGATTTTCTTGCAGTTGCTAGTCGATGGTTGCAGGTTTTTTACCTTAAAGTCGCTACCTTAAATTTGTAAGTACAATCAACTCGGATGTTTAAGTGATTTCAACTTAAATTACATTAAACTGACTAAAAAAATTAGCTGAATCTTGTATCAAAATAAGTTTATGAGTTTAAGCAATGTAAAAACGTATTGTCATAAGTTATCTTATAATTTTTTACAATGTGTGTGTGTGTGGGGGGGGGGGGGGGGGGGGGGGTGTTGTCATTCTAAGATGTTGGATACAAATTTCATCAATCATTTTGGTCCTAAAAAAAAGGCATATACCTGATTGTTTTGGAGTACGCTATCATATAAATGACAAACATGCATGGACTAAAAGCCACAAATCTATTGTGATATTTATGGGGTCTTTAAGGATTTGACAAGCGGGCTAAAGGCCCGTTCACACACCACAGGACAATAAAAATAACTGACGGTATAAGATAGTTCTAAAAATTGATCTAAATATAAAAGAATAGCAGTCCACACCACAACTATTACACTCAGAGAACAGATATAGTTGGAATCACTTTCAGAACGGTTTTCTCCAGCTGATGAGCAATAAAAACCATGAACCGCAAATCAGAATCCATTCCGCTTTAAAGAGCTCGAGCATTCGAAGCCGCAGACGAGAAACCTGCAGCGCGTTATCGTTTGTTGGCGTGGACGCCAATATAGTTATGGTTATCTTTATAGTTATCGTGCTTGGTGTGTAAATGGCCTTTAAGACTAAACTGACATTTCTGTAAGAATTAAATGTGCCAGTTAAGTGGCTATTTTGCTCTCTGGCCTCACAGATCTTCTAATATGCTGTCGAGTCCCTGAATATGGCCAGATAATATCTCAGCTGCCATTCAATAACTAGATCAGAGAGGGGAACGGAGGATGGAAGCACGGAGGGGGAAGGGCAGGTGTCGTTTTTAGACAGCACAGAAGTGGAAGCGATAGACCAGACTAAGAAGAAAGAGAGATGAGTGCTATCAGGGTTTGGACAGGCTAGTTGGATTATGGCTGCAAAGCTATAATGCTTAAAGGTCACCATAATGAACCGGGTTCCCTCCCTTTCCTCAGCACTCTTAATGTTTTCTGAGCAAAGTAAAAATAGCACTATTGTGTAGTAAAAAAAAATAGTGTGCGCGGAGAGAGAAGGCGTCTGAAAAAGCTTGGTTTTCCTCATCTTTAGTGAAGGGCTGTTCATTCACCCACAGTGTTGAACTGTCACTAAAGATCCTGATGTGACGAATGTCCACCTGTCATTTTGTCCTTAACTGAAAAGGAAAATTCTTATTGTTTTCTAGTAAAATTGTGTCTATAATATCTTCACATTTATACATTTACTAGTGCTGTCAAATTGATAAATCGTGATTAATCACATCTAAGATAAAAGTTTTTGTTTGTGTATATATATGTATATGTATAAATGCACACACACGCACACATATTTAATATATACGTATTTGAATATAATATATATATACACACATAAATAAATAAAATTATGATAGATGCAATTAATCGATTTGACAGCACTAAAATTGACCAAAGAAGTAAAATTGCATTAGATAAAATTCATTTTGAAGGAATGTTTGTTGCATATAGTGTATAAAACTGCATTTTCATTTTATAATTGTGTACTTTTTCACCTGTTTATACAGTATATTTCTGTATTTAGTCTATATTTGGTGAGGTTTAAGCTTAAAACGTGACATGCTTTGGATAAAAGCGTCTGCTAAATTATTAAATGTAAATGTAAGACAAAAAACGTTTGCTTAGTTATCTTTGTTTTATGCATGGTTTACTGGAAAACAAGTCAAAGATATTGATTTATGTATTTATTTAGTTCATTATTTGTAGTGCACTTACTGTAGTCTCGACTAGAAAGAGTGCAACGGTAGTATAGAGGATTAGTAGCATTTTGTGGCTCAATATTTTTTGACAGGAACTTTGCATTAGTGCTGCTGTCTCTGGGTGGGTTTGCGTGTGTGTTTGTTTGTGTTGGTGTGTGTGGGTCAGAGTCTGTTTGACCCCTCGCTCCACCCTCAGCTGTCAGATTAAAAAAATCCGGTGGCTTATCCAGAAGCCATGCGCAGCGACCTTCGCGTCACACACACTGCAGCTCATCGCTGTCCTGGTTAACACATGCCCGAATGTGACTCTTTCTGAGGGAATCAACCCCCAGTGTTTCTCAGTAGTAGGCCTACACTATTATTTTTATATTTTTGAATATTATATTATATATTTAATTGTTTAATATTTTTATTTTATTGATTATTTTAGTAGTCAAAACGTACAACATAGCAATCTTTTTGTGCATTAGAATTCAACTAATGTTCTGAAACGTGTGTGCATATATGAGCTTTTTTAAAAGGTTTAGGATATGCTAATGCATCCAAAAATATAAATAGTATACGCGGTATATTAATTTAGAGTATAGAAATACTCTATCTAACTATCTATACTGTATATGAATATATATATATATATATATATATATATATATATATTTGATTGCAAGATTGCAAAAAGTATTTAATTACAGGGAGACAATAATTATGGCCAGCGTGTTTTGGAGAAAAGCATTTATTTCATAATGTGATTTCTGAAAAGATCAAAAGGAGAAACAATGCAGATTTATTTTTTACAGCCATTTTGGATCATATTTACCAGGGGTACCATTAATTCTGACCACAACTGTGTGTGTGTGTGTATATATATAAATATATACACTCGCGGTTAAAAGTTTGGAATAATTTTTAAAAAATTATGTTTTTTGAAAGAAGTCTCTTCTGGTCACCAAGGTTGAATTTATTTGGTGAAAAAATACAGTAAAAACAGTAATATTGTGAAATATTATTACAATTTAGAATAGCTGTTCTATTTGAATATATTTTAAAATATAATTTATTCCTATGATGCAAATCTGAATTTTCAGCAGCCATTACTATCAAAGTTGAAAACGGTTGTGCCGCTTCATATTTTTTATGGAAAACATTAGCCTATACACTATACCATTCAAAAGTTTGGAGTATGATCTTTTTTTCTTTTTAAACAGAAATTAATGCTTTTATTCAACATGGACACTTTAAATTGGAATCAAGTGACTAAAGGCATTTATAAAGATTTCTATTTCAAATAAATGCTGTTATTTTGAACTTTCTATTCTGGAAAAATGTGATTTACAGTATCCACAAAAATATTAAGCAGCAAAATCAAAAAGGTTCCAACATTGATAATAATAACAACTATTATTAATAATAATTAAGCACCAATAATTATTTATAATAACTGAGCTGCAAATCAGTATAGAATGATTTCAGAAGGATCATGTGACACTGAATTCTGGAGTAATGATGCTGAAAATTCAGCTTCGCCAATACAGGAATAAATTACATTTGAATTATATTACAATAGAAAACAGTTATTTTAAATGTGCAGAAAATATTTCACAATACTGTTTTTGCTATTTTGATTAACTAAATTCAGCCTTGGTGAGCAGAAGAGCATTTATAAATCTACCGTTACTTTATAAATGTGCTATTGTGAAAATGTTTCGAAAATGCAGAAATGAATCTGAACCTAGATTCAAAAATAATCAATGCTTTAAAAGTAATATTCAATAGTAGTTTATGATTGCAGATGAATGTGCTCGGGTGCGACGTTACATCATATAATAAATGTGATGTGGCATCACCTGAGCGCATTGATGTTCAAAGAGGCGAGCGACACTCTCACCTTCACTATCAGCAGAGTGACAGATGATGGTGAACTGTTGGACGGTCAGTGTGAGTGGGCCACACTCACGCTCGAGCTGAAGCTGAAGCCGCCACAGGCCTGTGAGCTGACAGATGGAGAGCAGAGAGCTGGATGTGGGCTGTGATCTCATGGGAGCAGAACTGAGGGAGAGCGAGAGAGAGATTAGAGGACTGGCAACAAGAGAGAAAGAGAGAGAGAGAGAGATCCACCCTCTGGACATGATAACAGTCCACGGAGCACAGCGAGAAGATGAGTGAACACACTGCTTTACTGACGCTCAAGCACACACACACACATTTGAGCAATCAGCTGTACTGAATGTGTGAAACCCACGAAAGCAGCCCATGTCATGTTTCATCCAAACATTAGAAGGATAGATAGATAGATAGATAGATAGATAGATAGATAGATAGATAGATAGATAGATAGATAGATAGATAGATAGATAGATAGATAGATAGATAGATAGATAGATAGATAGATAGATAGATAGATAGAT